CCGACTCTCATCTTGAGACTTACGAACAGATGTAAGGTAGAAGTATGAATATGATGTTTAAATGACAATCAACGTTTCCAGAGAACGTTTAAATGCTAGGTTTCGCATGGGAACAGAGAAGTGTAGGCACAGCTATGAATGTTTGCACGGCAAAAGGCCAGCTCTCCAGAGAGTGAAAAATCTTTTATCCTTCGCATCACAGCAATGATGTTGAGTGGCCCTCACACTTGATTCGTCAAGTTCGGAGGTCTTCATATCATCTGTGACGCTTCGCTGACTGTTGTGGTGCTATCTGGTAAGGTCCCTCATTGGTAACAATTGGTAACAACCTAGACCTCATGTTTCCTGGTGGTCAGTCCAGCCCATTTCACGAAGATGAAGGGAGGAGATGCAGCGATGTATTTCAATCCCTCCCGCGTCATCGTTCGTCAACGCGATATTCCAATAGCGAAAATCACCTGGGCTTGGCACCGATCGCCGGACCATGAAACACGATCTTTTTCCCTTTCAGAAGGAGGCTCACCCTGGTCCCTCCTTCCGTCAGTCGACTGACGTCAGCGTCGTGTCTGAGAGCTGCGATGTCGATTTTGTTCCTTTAGAACTCGCGAGCTATCAGCGCCGTACGTCTCTCCTTTCTCATTCCTCTGTCGAGCAGAGTTCTCACATTCAACGTCTGAACACATTTCCGTTTCGACCGCTGAGGAGATGACTCGCCAGCCTCAGTGTGTCGGCCAAGCAAGGCGGACCAGACATTGTTGAGGACACCTTCCCCCTCCCCAGGGGGGGGGGGGAAGACCTTGTGCCATCTTGAACAGGCCGGATCTGTCGCTCAGGATGCTCTCGGACAATGTTGCCAATCCCGGACAATGTTGCCACTCCAGTCCAACACACGAACGACCCAAGTCCAGAGCCGCCCCGCGTGCTCAGGACTTACGACTCAAGTCTGTGCCTAGCAGCTCCCAGCAACATCTTCGCCTGATGCCGTCGCCATTCGCTCATCGAAGGCAAGTGTGAATGTTCGTGGTGGCGATAATCATAATGGTGATGACAATTATAATGATAATGATGGTGGTTTTGATTATGATGGTATGATAATTCGCACTTAATTACCATAAAATCATTCCTGCATAAAGAAAAAGGTTCATAGGAACTTTTATTTGAGGGAAAAAAAAGTTTGTACAAGAAACTTTCTTTTGCATAAACTGATTGAAGCATCTCAGCTAACAGTGCAAATTTTATTATTATCGCGAAATGGCAACTTTTTGAAAGGGGGCCAAGGGGACCACCTCAGTTCGTCATGGAACTCTTCCTCCTTTTTTTTGGCATTTTGCGGAATTTCCTCGTGGCTTCGTACTTCACTTCGTCCGTCATGCGTAGACTTGCCAAAACCTTGCCAAAAAAATTTCAGGGCGAGTGACTCGCGAAGTTTGAAGCCTCATAACAGCGGATGCAAAAAAAGGTGCGGAGGTAATATTTAAATCATTTCTACAATGAACAAATGTTACACCGCAAATCACAGAATGAAGCAAAAGCATTGAAACGTAACAAATTCGAAACTCGCCTCGTCAAAGCGATAGAGCACCGCGCCGCCACGAAAAGAAGCGTCTCGCTAATCGTCGCAGAATCGTCGCAGAATCTTGCCCCAATTAGGGACACGATTCTGCGATTCTGCTCTGCAGAGCTCCGAGAGACACGAAAGACGGGGGAATCCACTTCCTTAATTAAGATTAATTAAGGTCGAATTCGACGACCGTGGCGACAGGCGACAGTCTTGTGAGGCCTTCTTCAAATTTGCGACGGATGACGTCATCGTGCTCGATCGCTTCATTTCGTCCAACGAAGCCAAGGACAAATCTTCGAAATTGTTACACATTTATTTTCTTCATAACGCAACAACTAAGACATAAAACGTTACATCACGAAGCAAACGTATCTTTTCCACTCCGCTTTCCCCGCTCCAGCCGGATCGGACAAAAGAGACTCCACGCCGAGTTTGGAGAACATCATCTCCACGGTCCCATTCTCTCCTTGACAAATGCGAAATGTAAATTCTTCATCCCCCCCACGAGAGACATCTAAATAAGCGGAGCAAAGGGACGCGAAATCGAGTCCCCTTCTTCGTCCCCTGCTGTTTTCCAATCACTTTCTCCACGGATCAGAGAGATCATCTTCCTAGCAGACCTCCCTACTAAGGAGATCATCCTTCCTAGCAGACCTCCCTACTAAGGAGAACATTCTCCCTAACAGGGAGGTCTGCAAGGTTACCTAAGTAGACTTCTTTCTTCGTGAATGCCGGACCCCTGGTTCCGTTGTCGGTGACAAAAGGAAAAATGACTTGGCAGATGGTTGCTCGATTCGTTCCATTAGGAAGGGCGGTGCGTCCTTTCCGCTTGTGGGTTCCTTTTCGCTTCTCGAATGGGGAGCCTGGTGGATCGCCCCGGGAAAATCGGCGATGATCTTCCATGCGTTGCAGTCGCGTCGCAACTTAAGGGAAATTCCTTTCCTTTGGGGGTCAATTTGGGTCCAAATCGACTCGAAATTGGCAAATGGACCAATTTGGACATTCGCCGAACTTCTGGAACTGCTTGTTTGAGTATCATAAGTCAAAAACGCATGCGGTAACAGATTAAGCTAGGAATTAAATTTGAAATGTCATGTTGAAATGCTGAAATGTTCAAGTCAGCAGATATCTGCACAAAAGTTATAGTTGTAACTAATAATTAATTAGCACTTAATTCTATCCAACTTGAACATTCTAAAACTTTCGTGCATTCAACTCGTCTCATCGCACAAACGTTTCATATTTGCAAAATGAATTTTATTTTTAAATCAAATGTTAATTTTTGGTGCAGGCTTGCACTCACACGGCATTACTTCCCTGGATTATCTCCTTATCTCCTTGGGGATCAACGGAAGAAGGTCTTCGGCAGTTTTCTCAGTTAATGAATTTTCGATTTAATGGAATTTTCTTCAGCTGAAGTTTCTTCCACTCTTTCTCTTAACCGTTTCACGCAAACTATTTTTTTTTCTAATAAAAAAAATTTCCTATCGAAAAATAAATACAAGTTGCCTTTGAAGAATTGCTCGTGTTTTAAATCGCTGGATAAAACAATAACGAGATTCTTGCCTTGAGATAAAAATAAGTAATCGCAAAAGAAAACTTTTCATGCTATTGTCATTAACATATTAAAAAAAAGAGTAGGGCGTTTTTTTATGCCTCACCAAAAAATCTAGACTTAAATCTCATTCCGATGAAAATAGCTAATCAATTAGCGACTTGAAACTACAAATATGCAATGGAATTTTTAATAGTTTTTTATTTTTACAAGATTTGATGACGGTAATTAACTTGATTAACCCTTATCCTTTTTTATTTTAGTTTCACGGCCGATTTTCGACAGGCGCAAGTGGTCGTGAAAAAATTGCCTGATACTCAATGTTATGGAATTTCTCAAAATAGTTTTTGGTACCAATGTAAAATGTAAATAATAGAATGTTTCCACACAAAATCAATATTGGTCAAACGGTAAAAAAGCAGTTTTTACTGCGGAAGTCTGACGGGAAAAAGGGCAGGAATCGGTTTTTCTCGTTTACTGATCGAAAAAGACGGGTCTCTTGCACATGAGCGTGGGAAATTATCTCTGTCCTTGAAGTCAAAATGATAACAGAATCGGGTTGGGCTGTATGAGTTTAAAAGTATTCCCCGGAGCAGCATCAATGGGGATCGTCACGGACTTCCCGCCGAAGCTGGGCTATCCACGAGATGAATATTGTAAATACTTGGCCGAAGCCGGCCTCAAATAAGATTGGCTTCCGTTATTTCTATGAACTGTTGCTAAGAGGACAATTCGACATCTTTGCAGCATTTTTAATGAGCAACCCTGCGCTGGAGATTCAGAGCAGTGCACGACTCCATTTCGTGGAGTCAATCACGGACGATATATGAAGCTCATACAATGTTCAATAAATCAAATTTCCGCCATTTTTGTTGGGTTTTACAGGGGGAAACTCGGATAAGGGTTAATTAAATTAATATTGTTGATAATCGCAATGGGACACAGCCAATTTTGGATAGAAACTTGGAAGCAAAAAAACTAAAATATATTTCAATCTTGAGAAAAACAAGATCCTCCCAGGTACAGAGGAAAGTACAGTAGTTCGTTGACTTTGAGATGACATGGAGGCAGGGCCGGCCTTGGGCATGTGCCTCGTGTGCCCCCGCACAGGGCGCAAATTCACCAGAGGCGGCAAACGCGAATGAATGAAGTAATGATGAATACCATACTAAGTTTTACTTCAGAAAGTCGAAATGCCTTCCGTTTCGGCATCTATTTGGACTACGTTAGCGATTGACCCTTCTCACTTCAAGCGGTTGGGAGTCTCTTCGCACAGGGCGTCGAAACTGGTAGGGCCGGCCTTGAATGGTGTATTTCAACTTCTTTGGCAGACCTAACATCGTAAGTCGTAAATTTTTGAACCGATAACATCACACTTCCACTAACAGGTTTTAAATTTCAACATGTACTTGATACCTGTGGTGTAAACTGAACCACACACTTTTCTTCGGAGGGAGGGACCAAGACGTTGAACAAATTCAATAGAACAGGGAAGTTCTAACAGCTGGTTCAGTAACCTTTGAAAGATGGCCTCATTTCCAAGCGACCCATAGAAGAGCTTGTTCAATTGAATGCTGTTCCTGAACGAACGAAGCAAGAGATAACAGATGCCTAAGTAGAAGCCTGGATTCTATTCTTTTCAAAATGCAGTTAAGTCTATGATCACTTGTCAAGGGCAGCGTACATAATATTATTCGCTTATCCCATACCACTTTTCCATGCTGCCCGTTATTTGGGACGTTCACCTGATAAAGGATGAAATTGAGAGGCACAGATCACCTGTCCAGGACTATGGATTTCATCAGAATCTGACATATGTTCCATTATATCTACACTTAATTCACCATAGAACTCAAATTCATAATGATAATTAACATCAGCACACCCTTGTAAGATCAACTTTATTCACTAAGAACCACTCATCGTGGAAACAAAAAAAGCAGAGTTGTCATATAGAAGCAGTGAGATCTGTAACAGGTCCTGGAATGAATGAGCATAGCTTGATTTTCAGCAATGACATTGGCATTGGCTCAGCAACCTGTTGCTTTTGCTCAGGATCTCATAGTCAAAGGTCTCTTCATAATCATCTTCTGGTGAAGTCTGGTCCACAGAAAAGCTAAGAAAAAACCCACAAACAAATGAGTAATACAGACACAGCATGTCAATGACTTAATTCAATTATATCTCTGCACAAAGTGAAACTAACTTGATAGATTGGTAGAAGGCTTTGGCTTCAGGATTATGCTTGAATACTGTAAGCACCACCTTCACCATTTGTGAATTGAAAGCTGCCAATTCCAGAATGGCCATCATATGCCTCCCAAGGCCCTTCCTCTGGTAGCTCTCTTCGATTTGCAACTCATAGCTGTAATTAAACATAATCACAGGATTATATATGCAGTCAGGGGGAAGCATTGAAACATTTTAAATGGCAATCAGGAAGTCATGCAATGCAACTACAGAGTGGTAAAAAGTAACTACCCACATAAAATCTTCCCTCTCCTTTCAGGCAACATAAATCCAGGAAATATTTTTTCTTGCATAGAGAACCCAGTAGTACAATGATCAAAGTGAGCCATTCAATCGTTCATACAAATTTGGCAAGCACAGAAACCTCCAACTTGGTGCCTGTTCAAATTTGGTGAATCCAGACAAGGTATCTTCAGCAAATTGAAACAGCTGCAGTACAATAATGACAAACTCAGACCAGAATGGAGAGGTGGGTTCATAATTTTGTTCTACCTCAATAGCATAACTGCAAGTTATTGACTACCACAGTAGAAAAAGCAACCCCTGACTCTTCAACTACTGTGTAGGGTCACCTTTGCAGGCTTACAACACTAGAGCCATTGAGATCCCAAAAGAGGCAAAGCTAGGAAATAGGCACTTTTTCTATACTCATAACACTTGCACCTAAAATCTTGCTTGCAACTTGCTACTTCATGATTATGGCAAGCCTGCATGAAATACCTTATTTGTATTGGGGGTGGGGATTTGCAAATCCCCCCATACAAATTGAAAAGGCTGCATGAAACATCCAGTCCATGGGAACACAATCTGAGCTTCAGGCATAGAATTATATCAAGATAAGCAACATTGGAATCACAGCAGCTCATCCAGTCAAAGTTACATTTCAAAACCTCTACCCTGCACCTTGAGCATTTAATAAAATCTTACATTTGTGGGACTCACAGGACAATGCAAATGTTCATTGCCTAGCATGCAAGCAGTATAATTTTTTTTTTTGGGGGGGGGGGGGGGAATTAACTGCTTTCTGCACGTCGAGATCTCCAGCAATCTGAGGCTAGTACAGAGCCCTGTCATAATAACACAAACACCAGCAAAAATGAAACCACACTCAAGACAAAAAAAGATGGAATTGAGCGATCTCAATAAAATCTAGTATATATACTCGTAGTAGTATGTCATGACATCAAATAGAGTATCAAGGGAGTTGGATCAGTTGCCAAGTCTCACAAAGACTTGGCAAACTTTCAAATTGAACAATGAAAAGAGGGGTTGTACTAATCTCCCTGCACATGATTTATGCAATTACATATGCAGAACGTACTGCTGACTGCCACTCTGTCAGTACAGGACAGGGCACAGCCACATTTGTCTCTTTCTGGCTGTCATGACAAATGGACATTTCTGAAGAAAAATGAGAAAAATTAGGACTCTAAAAAATAGCCCAATACTACAAGAAATAAGCTGTGCAACAAATAATTTCAGGCTTAGCATCGTCACCATCACCAACGTCAAAGCGTACAGGATCAAGCAATGCACCCACCAATAGAGCACAGGCAGATCGCTGTCCAAGTCAAATCGGAAGTGAGAGAAAGCTACAAGGGCATCTCCTTCACCCCGAGCAAGCAAATACCAAGCTGAATCATCCATTAATTCTTCTCTCTTCTCTCGGTCACTCCATCCCCATGCACTCTTCAAATACCTGGAAATAAAAAACACTCTTGAAAACCAGCAACAACAACAAAAAACTAGCACCAAAAAAATTCAATGAAACTTACAAGTGCTTCATGTTGCGAGCTGTGAGATCAAAGACCCAGTCCCGAGTTCTTGTGTCCAAGTTCTCAGCCTTGCAGCATTCAATGTTCACAGAAATTCCATTCCGATCAAACTTCCTGAAAGCTTTGAGCTGCTCCAAGTGATCCAGTTTTTTGTTAGCAGCATTCACCCGCTCCTGATATGAATTCAGCTGCTCTTTTTCCATCTTCCACTTCAGCTTTTTCAGCTTGGCTTTCCTCATTCCATTTTTCTTTTCACCTCCCATCTTGTGCTTACAGGGCTTCAGCTCCCCTGCTGAAGAAATTGTGACCACCTTGTATTAGATCACAACCCGGAATCACCTAGTCATGCATGCACAACATATATTGAGGTTTCACATCAAATTCTAGCTATTAACCATTATCCATTTTCTTTTTACTAAGGGAAGTAAAATTAAAAGTTCCAGAATGGATAGAATGCAGATCAGCAATTTAGGAAAATAATTTTCAATTACTTTTCCTGCTCCCTTAATGGGGTGAGCACCTTTCAGGGCATGCCAGAAATATGGGAATATGGGAAGTTCTAAATCCAAAAAACCATGCGTTGCAATTCAAATTCCACCTAGGGTAGACTGCAGCAAAAAAAAGTAAACTTAAACCATTATCAATGGCTCAAATGGGAGAAAGCCACTTTTCAGAATTGGGTAGTAGTTCAATCCTCATTCAAGTTTGAGAAAGTGCATGAAAATTATTTTTTATTATTATATAGAACTAGAGAAACCAAGAAACTCAAATGCTTTCCGAATCATCACTCCGTAAAATACACGCACCTAATTCTCAACAAAAACACCTCTCTGTACAAACCATATTAATTTTTTAGGCATGTGCTTGACTTAGGACAGGATATAGACCAAGAACAATGCTTTATCTAATGCATTCAAAAATAATTCATAACTATACCTATACCATTGGACATATAGTCAACACTTTCCAAGCAATATCTCACAACTATCCTTCATGGACAGGCTGCCAAGGATTCAATGACAGCCTTATTCTGTCATGAAACGTAACTTTCCCTGGTGAAGTCCAGGCAACAATGAAAGTTCATTCAAATAAAATTATGGGTTAAACCATTTCTTGCATATCCAGAAAAAACTCGAGCCCAATATGCACTAAGGACATGAGCTACAAATAGTTCCTCCCTGCCTTCCTTTGATGACTGCCCATTCTGGTAACTACCTTTTAGCATGTAGAACTTATTTTCAGGAGGTCATGTGAAACAAGCAAAAAGATATCACATGTGAAATGGTTCATGGTAACTTTTAGGTTGATCCATGCTTTGCTATTCATGTTGCCTCAAGTGTCCCTACTGATATGGGATCATAATGCCCATGTGAAAATTATAGCCAAAAGAGAATAACAACTCTCCAATTCTCACTCTTTCTTTTCATATACTTAGCCACATCTTCTTTCCCTAGTAGCACAGTGGCAATTACTGAAAAGTAACAAATAAATAAAATGCACTGAACAATTAATTTTCAAAATAGAAGTTTTATAGAAGTTGTTGCATAACACTCCATGGAATGACCTCACACATTGGCTTGTATTGCAATGCACTTGTGTAGCATCTGCCCTTAACTTCAGAATCTATTTTTTTTTTTTAACTAGGGTTTCTAGGTCATTTCAAGATTATTTTTGGCCAAAGTTTGCACTTTCATGCAAGACCTCTGCATTCCCAAATTGTCATCTACTTTCCCTGTGATACAGAAGAGACTGTTTCCAACAGAGAAATGTGCCATGTGCAGTGTCCTTTCTTGGCTCTTCATATGTACTTACACAGATATGAACAGGATGATCTACTATAGCCACATCTCCACTCAAGCTGACATCATATCTGGCTCTGCAGAGAACACATCCCAGGCAAAAAAAAAAAACAGCATGACATACAGCAAATTTACAAAACCACTCTTCCTCCAAGGTGAACAGAACAGGTGATTGTAGGCTGTAAGAACACACAATAAACAGGAACAAAAGTATTATTAAAAAAAAACTATAAAAAAACATGCACAAAATAGCGATTCAAGTCAAGTTAAAAGATTATCTGCACCTCCTACTTTTAATTTTTGATAGCTAAGCTTTTGCACAAAGAACTATACCCATCCAAGTTAAACTGCTGTTGTCAGGCATCATTTCTCCTCTAATTAGGTAGAGCATCAAAACCCAGTTTTATATCAGGAGACTCAATAACTACATCAAAATGGATACTGGTTATACTGTACATGCTAGTGTTGGCCACAATTCACTTCTTAACAATTAAGAGGGGTACACAACCTTGGCAGAGCTTCTTAAGTCCTGCACATACTCAAGATGTCTTGGTGCTACCAGTGAATTAGCCCTATTAAATTGTTAATCTAACAAAACAAAACTCTCTCAATTTGACCAAATGACCTGCTGAGAACTATTACCTGCAACAATTTCCCTGTTAACTGGGGCTTATTACATGCAAAAAATAGTTAACAACTTCATACCATGAGATACAGTACTTCTGGCACAAATTGGTCACCTGCCTTTCTTAGAGCTAGACACAATCTCATGAGCTGACAGAACCTTCCATTCAAGTTCATTGAGGTAAGTGCAGACAAACAAAATATAGCAAAATGCATTCAGCAGGATGGGCAAACTGAAGTAAGGTGCAGTTCACTGTGTCTGTGGTTTAGCTACTGGAATTACCAACATAACCAATAGTCAATCACATGCAAAGCAGATGTTACTATGCACACATATGAAGCAGTGCAAGTTTTTCATGCAGTCAGCCTAAAAAATGCTAGACAAAGAGTTAAAAAACCACACCATCAAACCTTACCTTTGCAAAAGGCAATTTGAGGGTGAAGAAATTTCAATTGAATGAGTGATACTTGACAATAAACAGCAACAGCATTCCAGACATTTACAAAATCATTCTCTCAAATGATGAATTCTTCACCCTCTGTGAATGTTCTGTGCAAAGCTTCTCCCCCAACATAAACAATCCCCTTGGCACATAAATGGAGGCATGTGTGGACGTGCTTGAAGAGGAAAAAAGTGACTCATCCCTTACCAAAAATTTACAGATGATGAAGTTGTGTCAGCTCTCAAGCCCTGTCTCTCTCGAAACTTACATGGCACAAGAGCCAGCCAGGCATTATGAGCTGGGGGTCAGTTCATCTTCCAGTCTCCCGTTGGGCAAAGGGAACTGGAAATAATGGCATTCCAAAAAATCTTGAACTTTAGTGTCACCAGCAGACTGCACCACAATCATTTGCTGTCGTAAACATGCTAAAATCGATAACGTCCACGGGCTTGTACGAGTTAAAGGCTCGGAACGGATCCTATGATGTTCTCTCCCTTTTTAAGCGTGCGGATCAACCGCTCAAGCTCGTGCTTGACGACGGACCTCTGATCCATGGAGGTGATGAGAATTTGCAACGACTTCGGGTGGGAAGAGAGAATATCATACGGAGGATTCTCGGAGTTGACCTCACTCACGTCAGCCTCGGCACGTGATCTTCATTCTCATGGAATGCATACATCGTCCGTGATCATTTCTGGAAGGAGCGAAGGGGTTCCGACAGATGGAGGATGGGTTGAAAGAATAGCATTCCAGCGACGAAATGCCTCGATCTTCGGGCGTCACAAGCTTTATTATACAACGAGGGACAACAAAATTCGGGGGAAACAAGCCAGAAATACGAGCAGCAGCGCAAGAGCAATCATTGTACGAATCAAGTCGCTCTTCCCTCTTTGTATTGTTCATATTCCGGCGATCGAATAGACCGAGCAAAAAAAGTAGCAGAGCCTCGTTCTTCACGGCAAGAATGATTCACAACATCACTCACATGAGTGGTCCCATGAAAATTGAATTATTCATAAAAGACAAAAAAGACGGAGAGAACTTGTCATTGAACACGAAGAATTGATACCCCATTCTACTTTGTACATTCTGGAGGTTGGGGTGAACTTGTTCGGTCTTTCATACACGCACAAAGACAAGTTCATAAATGCTCCGGTAGCAGTGGATAATGCCCGACGCAAGGACGCTCTCCATCTGTCTCGCACAGTCGCACCTAACCGCTCCTACCACTAGTAGCGGCGCGGCGGCATGTCTCGACCAGCGGGCATGGGTGGAGGAGGGTATCTAAACATGAAAAATCAGTTCCATGAACGGGTGAGGATTCTTCTTCATTCAAGGTAGTAACAAATTTATTTTTAATAGATGCTTGCAGATTATCAGCAGCCTGGTCCTGACGACGAGAGCAGATTTTTAAACTGCCCAGTAACCTGGTGGTTACTTCATCTCATCAGTCGCATATAGGCGCGGATTTTTTCGGTTGTATCATAAATCAACTCGATACGATAGATATCAGAGGTCCTGATTAAATCATCTGGCACAGGAGGCCATTCTGAAAAAGCACTGTATCGCAGCTCAAGTCGGTTGAAAAATGGAGCACTGGTACTTACCTAGCTCCACCCCTGGCTCCATATGGATCATCATATGGGTCAAAGCTATACAGAACATAAAAAAACAAAGTGCAAATACAATCAACAATGCCCATTCAATATCACAGCTAGATCAACTCTGAAAATATAGAACATACCTAGGTGGAGATCTGCGGCTGTACATGTCTGAAGGGCGGCCAAAGGCATCAGCACGCATGGCATCTGGGGGGGGCATGGGTCGCCTTTCTGGCATGGCTGGAGGAGGGCGTCTGTCATACATGTCAGGATATCCAGGTCTTGGTCGGTCCCTCATCATCATTTCCCGCTCCCGTGCCATGGGGGGTGGTCCTCGTCGATCATAGTAGTCTTCATAATACCCATCAAACCCATTGCGCATTGGCATAGGAGGAGGATGTCTATCATAAGGACCCATTCCACGCATGGGCATTCCACCACGTCCTCGACCCATTCCTCCTCTCATGGGACCACCACCTCGACCTCTGCCACTCCCCCTCTTCCCTGTTGATTGCTGCAAGTGAAAAGGAGTCACAATTTTTGCATTAACTAATGCCTTTGCTATTATCGAGAATGTGGCAACTCAAATTGAACTAGTTTAAATAGTTTAAGCTATTGCAATATTGTTATGCTTTTTGTTGGCTGAAAAGCACAGATATACCACTCCTAATTCGAAAATGTAAAAAAATACAAATTGGTTTCCTTAAAAACGTTAGGAAGTTGCCTGAAAATACAAGTTAATAGATGTAAAGAAAGAAAGAAAGAGTGTACAGTACAATCTCATCTCCCATAAAGCTTGAATCAGAACTTTGCTAAAAATACTTCAAAGGATATCATAAATCTTCATCCATTCCTGTGCAAAATTGGAAGTGAGCAGTCTGTTCCTGTCAAGCTTCCTTTCCTTGTTTCACGAGATGACAAGAATCATCATTACAAAATCACCTGTCTAACATGCTACTTGGCATATGACATTAGAAACCCCATTTAATGAAAATGAAAAAGCCTAACACCTTTAACTTCACCTGACATAACTGAAATACATCTGGGGGAGATGGCAAGTTGACATTCTTACTTGGATTACCTAAAACTCTATACCTAATATTATAGTACCCATGCAGATGTTCTCATTTCAAATGAGTCATCAAGCAGTCCAATAAATCTGCCAGCATTCAAAGAAGTTCAGTGTTCTAGCTGTAGACAAGCAGCTAGAACAGTCACTAGAACTAGACAAAACTTTTAAGTTTTGCTAATCTCAGTTGATATTTTAAATGGCTTGAATAACCCTTTTTAATGAAAAAAAACTAACATTTTATAGGTATAAATCATAACTAAAAATAAAAAATATTTATAAAAAAATTGAACCATGACTTGCATAATCAAATTTAACTCATGAAGAACGAACAGCTTACCTCAACACTGATTCTTGACCCCTGGAATTCAGCATTGTTCAGTCCCTTTATAGCTGCAGTGGCTTCCTCTTCTGTGGACATGTGAACAAACCCATACCTATTCAGGACATCACACTCTGTGACTTTCCCATATTGCTCAAAGAGTACTCGCAGATCTTGAGATTTGCAATGTTCAGGAAGACGCCCAACGAAGATTTTCGTCTTTAGAAAAGAGATAAGACACAACATTTATCACCAGCCAAGGGTAAATGCTTACACTAGACAAAGGTCATAACATAACAAACCACAAGCCTAGGCTTAGTCTATAGGAACCACACAACACATTGTGTTTCAAGTAGTGACCATCATTTGAGTGCCAGTCATGGCCTGATGGAAACTGAAAGGCATTTTCCAATTGTTAACACTGTTCCTACCCAGGTAGAAATAGCTACTCATTTAAGGCTTGATTTTAAAATTTGATTAACAGTCCTTGGCAAATTATGAAAAAAAAAGGCTCATTTGCATACATATGCATGTGCACCCACCAACCAGTGGTTAAGTGGGACCAATAGAAAAAAAAGAGACAAATAACTGCAAGGTGTTGACCATTTTCAATATCCATACAGACCAAGAGAGAAATTGTGTTACACAAAATGAAGACAGGAAGAAATAAGAATGAAAAACCCTTTACAGCAGGGGTGCACAACTTGACCCTTTGAGGAGTACCCCTGTATATATACAGGCTGACATCCTCCTGCCCTCCATACATTCACTATGGGGGATCTTGCAGGTGTTTAAAAAAAACCCACTCCTCAATGGGTCAAAAGACTGAGTGTCCATTGCAATTTTGGCTCACCTACTGCAGGCCAGTCTGGCTGATCAAAGGTGTGGCCAACAGTGCAGGTTCTATAATAGCACTTAAAATGCCACCAGTCATGTCAGGCTGCAGGCATGGGTCTCACAGGCTGTATGCTGTGCACCCCTGCTAAATGGCATGCACTGGGTTTACTGAATTAGAATGCAAGAGAGAGCCACTCAGAATGCAATAACAATAAGCATCTCAAATTGCAACGTTGAGTGGAAGAAACAGGAAATGCATTATGGCTATCACACTAGTAGACATCAGAAAGCATACAAACTCAATGCTACAAAGATTGCGGAAAATGTTTCTTAGGAATACATAGCACAACTCCGTGTATGAATACCTACAATTGCATTTAAGTGCTTGCCAAATCATGTCATACCTATCCATGAAGTGAAATGCATAAATTGCATACATGCATCAGTCAGTCAATTAGGAGCTGGCAAGGGCTAATTTATAATCCAACCCAATCAGCCTGATTCAAGTATTGTGGTGCACCTGACACAAAACCTAACTCACAAGTTGGGTTGAGCCTGAAAGCCCAAAGAGGACTCAAAGTGCTTAGTGTCACTTCTCACTTGGCGTCTTCCAAATTCAAACAATGTTTCTCTTAAAGACTATGAGATGAAGCTTGCCAAGCATTGAGATTCTCTGCTTTTGGTAAGCAATGCCTATGAATAATTGGGTATGGCTATGTCCCAATCCCAATGCATCTCATTTAAATACTTTGCAATGAAAGTCCACCAACCTTGGAATAAGAAACAGCATATGTTCTACAGGTGAGGGTTAGGTGGCCATGAAGACAATACTATATATCCAGAAAACATTACAATTTGGACTTAGTCTCAAAAGCACTCACATAGGAACAATCTACACTAGTGGACAAAATTAAGGTAACACCAGTTTTCATCAATATTTTAATTACAATAGTAAATTAGAAGGTGAAAATACATAATTTTACAGGCAAATTCTGAATATCGAAAATCTAAACTGATCTCCATGCTTTGCAACATGCAAATTAGTGAAGTCTATAAAAAGGCAGCAGCTATTGACTACTTCTAAGAATGTCTGTTGGAACATGTAACTTTTCGTTTCATGATGTAATTATCATAACTCATAATTACCGGTCCAAAGTTTCTCCTTTTTTTTATACACTTATTGATAATAATAAATTGTATCTCTGTAAAAATTTTCATTGATATACCTCACAGAATAAAAACGTCATTCTGGTTTTTGTGATTGCTACCTTAATTTTGTCCACCAGTGTATTTGCTGAGGTGAAGTTGTAAGCAAAGTACAAATTGGTGTCTTGATTGTAGGCTAGAATCAATAGACTAGTGTTATGAATTTTTAGCTGACATTGACATAGATTTATATTGCCAGTTAGGACAACACAGAAACCCAATTGGCAGCAGAGAACAACGCAACAAAAAAACAATGTGTACTGCTACAAATGTCCAGCAGTTAAAATATGCTACCATCACTGCTGTCCACAATATCACTTGAGTTAAGTGCTGTCATGCAATGAAGGACATGGTCTCTCACATATGCCATGCAGAAGACACGTTTATCCTCATCACATGTATTTCGGCCCATCATAGCTTCTATGGACATATTGTCCCATCTGCATGCGTATTATACCTTGTGTGACTGTTTCTGTGACTCAGTCCAAAGTGTAACATCTTCTTGACATACATGGTACACGGGGAATGAAGTTTAAATAATTTCATCAGTACCCGTGTCAAAATTCCATGTATGACAGGGTGTACAACTCTATATGATCATATATTTTCCATATACCAGTATATATGTATTCATATATTAAGATATTTTACCTGCATTGCAATATTAAGAGTGATGGGCAAATGGCATCATGTCTGATATGTGATGAATATCCATAGACAAGTCTTATGGTTGTAAGAAAAACATGGCATGCAGTCAGTGGTGCATTTTGGCTGAAGAGTCAGGGGGAACAGGGCAGCAGAGTGGGGGCCACCAAACCCTGTCCCAGGGATGCCAGGGTAACTCAAACTAATTTTTAATACACCCATTATACTTTACATGAAATATTAGCTATGTATAACCTTTAAAGTAATTTGCCAAAAGTTTGATTTTGAATGCCCCCCAGCTGAAAATCCTAGTTGGAAACAGCTATAATTTCAAGCTGGACCCCAGATGGAAATTCAGACCCATTACTTTCCCATACTTTCCAGTTGGGTAGCAGCTGGAAAGTAAAGTCAGATCCAGATTGTTCCTAATTGCAATACATTGGTGGAATGAATGTTTTTGTTGGGTATTCTTGCTGGAGGTCCATCTATAGAAGCAGCTGTATTCCAACTGAAGGGTCCTCTGAAGAAAATTTTAACTGTTAATTTCCAGTTGTAAAACAATATGTAATTACCATTTTTCAGCTCTTTGCCAGCTGGAAACGGTCAGAATATACAGCTTCTGTCCACCTGGAAAATTCCAGTCAGGGTTTCAAACTGGGCCCTACCCTCTCTAGGTAGAATAAGTGTATCGCAGATGAAAAAAGTGCAGGAAGGGGGGGGGGGGAAACACAAGAACTCTGGGACACTGTTATTATGCATTTCATGCATCTTTTTCTTTGTATTAATGCATTTTTCGTTGTTAAGTGGGGGGCACATGTTGTGCCATGCCTTCATTGAACAATTCCTTCATTGGATTATTTACGAAAGAAATAGGTTTCTTTTCCCATATATCTTGTGAGTTGTCAGTCAAGATGAAGAAGACACTCCTACATGAATTAAGCCAAGTTCTGTTATGAAATAGCATTACTGATGAAAATACTTTTGGAGGTTAAAGTATGTTGAACACCATGAAACATGAGTTCTTGGAGTAATTGACTGTGGTCTATGAACAATTAAAAATGACAATTGTAAGTAAGGTATGGTGACTTGCATATGAATGATCATATAGTATCTGATGGATTATGGACCCTTTTTGGATACAGGCATATTTCAGGTAATCTCACCATACATAGATATGACATGGCTTATATGGACAGTATATGGTGCATTTGTATGAGCCAATATATGAAAATGTATGGGGTCATATATTTTCCTTCTTATATGACTTCATGTGACTTTTGTCAAACTCCATACATGTTTCATAAATGTTCATATACGAGTTGCACTATATGGCCATATATGACATTTTCACGTGGGTAGCAACAGCGTTCCATAGGTTCTCACAAGAACTCTTACATTATTGCTGAAACAAGTCCCTTCAAATTATACAATCAACACTAAGTATATTATGATGGTTACAATCCATCATGCTTTTGTTCCTACTCCTGTGCATTTATAGGTTAAATTTTGTTGCTGCTAGGTGGCAAATAATTTTCTGGATACAGGTGAATTAATGGAATTTGAAACTCCTCCAGACTGCCATAAGGTAATCCTTCCACTAAAATGTCATTCCAAAATGGCACTTTCTCCCTTTTTATAATTGCTACATATTTGTCTGGATCTGCCCAGAATATAACCAGCTTTTCCATGACATGGATCCAAAAGACCCCCATGGCCTTTGACAATAAAGACTAAGAAAACAGTCACACATCATTGCCACTTCTATAGTTCTCCTGCCTGATGCAGTATCCATCCTAGTAAGCTCTCACAGAACCCACTCTAAAATTATTAGTCCTTTGGGATCAGAGTATTGTGTATGTGTCAGCACTTTCATCCAAGTTTTTCCTAACCATTATGAGGCCAACATAAGATAACACAGGCATGGACCTCAATGGGTTAACCCAGATATTCCTAGCATGCTATATGGAAGTGCAACTCTGCACACCATCATACATACAGGAAATCAGGCATATCTATGTTTTAGGTGACCAGCCAACATGAGCATATATTTCATTCTATTTTAATTAAAAAGATTAACAACCGAAGAATATATTATCAGTTATAATACACCAAAGCCAACATGTAACGTTAGGTAAGTACTAAAACATGCCACCAGGTATTATCATTACAAGGTTTACAGATTACAAGGGTATCGAGACCCAGGCTACTGAATTACAACTGACCACATCAGACCAAATACTCGTAAGCAACTGTAGAAACAATGTCAGAGGCATCACGAATGCACGAGCGAAAAGCTTGCCTGGACATGAACGCAACGCAAAAGCCTAACGTCACCCCTTGGCTGAACGCTAGAACTAAGCCTTAGTACTAGCTTAATTAGCATGGCCTATGGAAAACCACGCCCACTTTAGCGTTTGACCGGCATAGGCTTGCGCTATTCAATACAGCACATGGCAAGTGTTTGCTTACGGCTAAGTAATGAAAGCAGGGAATTTTTTGTGAAACTCACCGGAGGAGCTGTCATTTTGGAGCCCTAGGTGTGTCTTTATACCAAGAAAGACCTCAGACTAGGTGCTCTCCAGACGAAGCAGGAGAGAAGAACGTGACCATCAAGATGATAAGAAATAAGATGGCGGGAGGACGCCCCTTTGCTGGGGAACTACGTCATTTGATCGTATTCGATCCTTCAGAGAGCCAAGGAACCGCGGGCTCATACGTTGGGAAGTTGAGTGCTTACGACTAGTCATTAAGTACTTTGTACCAATGTTTTTGAACCTTTTCAAGGAATTATACCAGATTACTAGACCACGACCTCGATTGTACCAGCAAAGATAATGAAAATTCTCGGAAGTTATTTAATTATTAAATAAGCAAAAGCCCAGATAACATTTTTCGTGGGGCCCACATTGGCCCAACGTGGTCCTCCAACGTCAGGATACGTTGGCCCAACGTAAGTTGTTCACGTAGGAACCACATGAAAGTGACCGTTGGGCCAACGTGGGACCAACGTTGGCAGTAAGTTGGACAGCAACGTATAACCTACATACCCAAGTAGCTGGTTTTCGCTCTACATCATCATCATTTCGTACCATTTACTTAGATTCCCTATCCAGTGAAGGTATTCCCATCTGTAGTACGGAACCTGTACTATGTACTACAATCTACCAAGGACATGTATACCTGTATTTACCCTGATAGGCAGGAGACATAGGACAGAACAGACGTGGATCATCCCCTGACTGTACTGATTACAGTACGTGTCAGAGAATGGACCACCTCGTACGGTTTCATTGAAGTTTCCGCAATATCAGTCTTTTATTTCCCCCTTCTGCAATGGAGACGAAGAAATGGCTGTATTGAATTCACGGATGCTCCCTCTTTATTTCAGATCTCCTATTCGGACGAAATCCTCCAGTCTTTCAAAGGGATTCTCATCAGGAATGAGTTAGTTCATGGCCTGAGCTCTGTGAATCTGTCTTGAATAAGTGGATAACAAATGATGAAATGTCCGCATTTATTGATTCCTATAATGAGACTAGGCGAGGCGAGGTACAAAACATTCCTGCGAAGGACGATTCCAAGGAAAGAGGTAAGGGATTTTTTGCGTACTGTGCGAAAAGCGAGACCCCATACCCAAAAAGAACTTCAAGGTTTTGAAGTTTTCCACCAGGAATGCTGCAGTTCTTTTCAACGTGCGGATAATTCCCACGTTTGACCCACATGGGGCCAACATTGGAGGGTAATGAAGTTGTGAACTATCCAAGAAAAAAATCTACTTGGCAAAAAAATGTTATTGCTCATTGATATTTGGGATTTTTGAAAATGTCACGCGCACCAGCAGCTGAAAATCACTGCTTTGGACCATAGAGTCGGGTACCCGTTCACATAAATGAAGTAATGACCACTAGTTAACGAGTAATCAGTTAACAAGGCAGTTGAATCGGTTTGCTTTCGTGGGAAAACCAATGAAACTTTTCTTCCCTGCTTTTGAAGCAGGGAAGAAAAGTTTCTGACAAGAAATGTTTCTGACATTTTCTTCATAAGAAAATGTCAGGAATTTTCTGGAAAGCATTTTTTTATTTTGAGGGGAAACTCGTCCCAATCACTGCTGACTGCTGACTGCAGATTCTTCTTTACCTGTTTCAGCTTCAAAATAATCGCAGAAATGTGTCAGCATTGACAAATAACGCATCCAGCCACACCACATTATTGGGCATCGTCACTCGCCTCGCGGACTTTCGAAGAGTCCAAGCGAATTTTTCCTCTGCGAATTTCAAAGAAACAAATTTGGAACTTCACAACTGGCTTCGCTGAATTCGCATCATTCAGTCTAAAGTGAATCTCCCTGAAATCAGAGAAATTTGAAACAATTTTTCAGAGGTGGCCAACTAGTAAGCAGGGGCCGAAGTTATTACAGCAGCAAGCAATTGTCTTTCATCTACTTTTTTTTTAAGGCTGTATCTGTTGTTTTGAAGTTGCCTTCTGAAGCGCGATGCTTTTCCAAGCGGATCTAGAACATTGGTGTCCAGTAGGATTTCGATGCTCGCCAAACTTGTGACAATCAGGTCACCATATTCGCCACATGATACAAAATACTGTATATGCAATATTAATAATAAAAAGAAATGCCCAATCTTTTGAAAGAAAAAAAACTGATGAAGAGCATCAATTCGCCACATGTCTGTGGCCGATTCGCCATACGTGGCGAGTGGCGAACGTATTGGACACCATGGACCTAGAAGGCTCAAGAACAGAAAGGCTCTAAAGCTTCGTTCACGCGTGGAAGAAAATCATAGTTGGGAGTAGTAATCTACACGGAAGAAAGAGCGGCATAGAATCGAACAGTCGCCTCCAGCACCTCCGCCACACGGCGACGTCCTCCTCGGCAGCCGATTCCCGCCAGAGGAATCGGTTGGGAGAGCAGAAGAGCGGGAAGAAGCCCGGATGCCTGGACGCACTGCCGCCGTCGCTCAGTCTCTCACAGTCTCAGTCTATCACAGTCTCAGTCTATCACAGTCTCAGTCTCTCACATACTCGTGCTTCGCTGCATTCTACAGCATGCTGGACGCTTGATGCAGTTCATACGTTCCTGATCCAGCCCATTCGGCACAACAACGTTGTGTCGACGTTGAAAAAAGGTTGATGAAAGACAATTGCTTGCTGCTGTAATAACTTCGGCCCCTGCTTACTAGTTGGCCACCTCTGAAAAATTGTTTCAAATTTCT